TCCCCATCATGGCAATAGGTTGCCACTACTATTGACAAGTTTAATTTTTATCTCTCCCCCTCTATTTTTTTCTAGGCCTGTTCGGGTTGACCGAAAAAACCGCAAACCGGCGGTTTCCGACCGTTTTTTTCTGGCGGTAAACCGCGTTGACCGAAAAGTCAACGCCGGTCCGGTTTTTATTATCGAGCCGAAGGGTCTCGGGCGCGAAACCGGTATCAATTTTCCCCAAACCGGCGGTTACCGACCGAACCGACATATATATATATATATATATATATATATATATTATTTATTCATTATTATTTAAATTACACGTGTCAGCATGTTATTGGTTGTAACGGGAGAGTTGTATGGGATTACACTACAACCGGCTACACGGAATCACCCGATTTCTTCTCCTTTGCCAAACCCTTCGATCTGTTTCTCATTTTCAGCTCAATTTAGCCCATTCGAACCCTAAACCCTCTCTTCTCCCGTCGTTCTCTTCTCTCCCCTGTTCCGGTCCTGCGATATCTTCGCCTAGCGCCTCCTCTTGTTCTCGTGTTCCTCCTCTCCTCCGACCCGATTATCTGGTAAGAAAAAAAAATGGATTGCCTCTCTCTCTCTCTCTGTCTCTGTCTCTCTCTCTTTTTCTCTTCTTTTTTCTCTCTTCTTTCTTATCGCCTCTCTCTTTCTCTCTTTATGTTAATTTGTTAGTTTGTAATGGATGAAATTTATTAGGGTTTTATATTTTATTTAGGGTTTGTGTAGGATATGAATTGGGGATTTCGGGATTTAGGGTTTATGTTAGAGTTTTTAGAGGGTTATGTAATCTGTTTAGGGTTTTATTTTTTTTGGGGTTCGTATTTTTTCAGTCTTAAGTTAATTATCATCTTGATTTGATAATTAGTTGTTTCTGTTAATTGTGGACAGATAGCTAGCTTGTGTGACCCGTGAGCTGCTGCTATTTGTGTTGGTGTGAGCTGCTAATTGTGGGCAAAGCTTAAATTCAGGTATAAATCAAAATCACAATTGAATTAATCTGCTGGTGTTTGTTTGAGCTGCTGGTTTTTGATTTGAAATTGAATGAATCTGTTTTTCTTTTGATTTGAAGCTGCTGGTGTTTGTTTTAGCTGCTGGTTTTTGATTTGAAATTGAATGAATCTGTTTTTCTTTTGATTTGAAGCTGCTGGTGTTTGTTTTAGCTGCTGGTTTTTGATTTGAAATTGAATGAATCTGTTTTTCTTTTGATTTGAAGCTGCTGGTGTTTGTTTTAGCTGCTGGTTTTTGATTTGAAATTGAATGAATCTGTTTTTCTTTTGATTTGAAGCTGCTGGTGTTTGTTTTAGCTGCTGGTTTTTGATTTGAAATTGAATGAATCTGTTTTTCTTTTGATTTGAAGCTGCTGGTGTTTGTTTTAGCTGCTGGTTTTTGATTTGAAATTGAATGAATCTGTTTTTCTTTTGATTTGAAGCTGCTGGTGTTTGTTTTAGCTGCTGGTTTTTGATTTGAAATTGAATGAATCTGTTTTTCTTTTGATTTGAAGCTGCTGGTGTTTGTTTTAGCTGCTGGTTTTTGATTTGAAATTGAATGAATCTCTTGTTGCTTTGATTTGAAGCTGCTGGTGTTTGTTTGAGCTGCTGGTTTTTTATTTGAAATTGAATGAATATGTTTTTGTTTTGATTTGAAGCTATATTGGTTTGAGAACATGTTGTAGCTGCTGGTTGGTTAGGTTTTGTATAAATATATTGGTGTGTTTTTATGTTTTTGTAGCTGCTGGTTGGTTAGGTT